TCTGGTAATAGAAAACTACCTGTAGTAAAGTATCTGATATTTAAAAGTTTTAAACCAACCAAACATGTAGTAAATAAAGCAAGACAGGCATGGTCGCCTTCGTCCGCCTGTAACCGTGGCATGAAGGATTTGCGCGGCAGTTATGTACGCATTCCTAATAAAGCGAAAACGTTTAGTAGTGTTTGTGCATCGCTGTGCCAGTCCAACGGCAGACGTATAGTCCGTATTGTTTAATCTGCTTGCACGAAATAAGCGTTTATGTCACCGGGCTGTAGTAGTGAGACTACAATTCGAAGACTATATGAGACGCACTTGTTCAGGATCATTTCTTGCTAAATAAGGGGCATGTTTTTAGCATCCTGCTTGTTTTGATTTAGGGTTTAACCACTTCTCAATCGGCAGGTAGACCATGGAGAGATCACTGGTACGAGCACATATCAGAGTTACCATTTGAGAAACTGGCACGCGATACAATTGATATAAGATGTATCATATACTATGGATGCCACTGTGTCAGCAGTAATAAGATACAAAGCACATTTGACGCTTGACACACGGTAGCGCTATTTATTACGATTAAATCGGCCTGGATCCCTAGACCCCGTTCAGAAGTCACAAGAATCTGATGTTGCTTTAAACTTAGCTTTCTGAAATGAAATTCTGGAGAATTACTTAGACCCTGTCACGAGTCACAAGAATGTGATGCTGATTTAAACAAAGACTTCTGAAATGATATTTTGATGAATTACTCGTATGCAATCGGAATGTAAGTCCGATAGATGGGCTTTCTAAGGGCCAAACAAACATGTCCGAGTCCGAGTTGATAAAAATTTCTTCATTCACCAACATGTACCACATTTTGAGTCAGCTGTCTGATATCTTGTGCCGTTTATTATGATTTCATTTTGCTTTTGCCCAGTGTGTATATAGGTACTGTACAAATACAAACGAACAATGGTGCTACAAGTTCATTATGTTACATGACGTCTTAAGGAAGCGTGAGCATGTACCTGTATTGCTAGGTTTGCGTGGCTGAGCGGAATCTCTGGTAAAAGTATATATAGAGATGATTGAACTTGCTACGCGTGTACTTCAACGTGTCAGCTTCAAATTTGCTGCTAGTGTATTGTGCTTTATGGTGTCGACCCTAAATCCGCTGCTAGATCGTTAACGTGAAGCTTAGGGTTTCCCCCAGGTATGCTCTGCTGCAAGCACACACTACTCGAACACGTATTTATCTGATATATGATGCAGTATAAGTAAACCCAACAACTTTATTAATTCGATGAACCCCAACTGTGGCAAGTGTGACTTCAATCTACGAAGTGATCGGTTGCCACGGAACCAGAAATTTTATCAGTTGTTTTCGAAACTTTCATTTTATAAGATGTCTATGTGACCTTCAGCATCCTGTTAAAATTAAGCAGATTTAGAATGTCACTATAATAATTTGATGTGCAGATGACGCTTTACCACGACACTGGTAAATACCGGTCGGCTTCAATTTGATTTGTTCAATTTCTACAATTTACTTCCATGAATCCATAGGCCTCAATTGACTCTCAGTGTAAACTAACTGACTGACCAATATCTTCTACGCTATAAAGAAAACAATCACTGACCATTAATTATTAGCGCCCTGCACTTTATGATGCATATTTTAATTTTACAGTTTATACAGCGGCTAATCTCGATTATGAGCATGACTAAATCTACGAAGCATAAGAACTGCAGGCAGTTTGCAATAATTCAGATCTGAAGTTGATGTGCTATTTCATTTTGGGGTAAATAAAATTATCATTGGATTGTACACGCCAATGGATGGGCTGCGATAATAAAAGAAATCGAGGATAGGTCACGATGAGCTCAGCATTTTTAAATAAAATGATTATTCGTAAAGTCTAAAGACGTATACTTTTTCATTAAAACTGTTCTATTTAAAAATAGTAGGCTATGCGTAAACGGTGTATGGTACATATATAATATATGACCATATATAGTATCGGTTATTTATGCAATATGTATAGCGTACATAGCGGAATCGGGAATTCATACACTGTTTTGCCTCGTCTGACGGGTGCAATCACGAGTTCATGGTTTATGCGCTGCGAGGGTCCTCCATTAGAAAACAGTAGTATTATATTTAGCTAACAACAGTTTTATATTCAAGTTTATACGTTTCATTTGAAAATGTTCATGTATCTCACGATTTTAATATCCGCGTGTAGGCTGCATAGCGCCTCGTTGTACCGTACCGAAGACAAAACTAAAAACTTGCATACATGAATAACTTTTTATTATTTTATACACATACATTGCCATTTTCAAATTTATGGCAGATGCATGGCCAATAAACGATTATAAATACTTGTGAATATCCCTTCTGCAGGTCGCATAATGATCACCACTTTGAAAATGGAAAAAAGGAAGGCGCAGCAGAGAATGCTGTTAGTTCGCCTTCCTTCTCTTCCGTTCAACGTCAAGCGCCTATTAAAACGGAAACGATCATCTCAAACGCAAACCGTGGCCTTGGCGGTAGAAGAACTCGATATTACATCATGCCTAAACATCTCTAGAACTTCATTGCATGACATTATCAAATCCCACGACTGCACAGATACTGTGCTTCCGAGATCCTTTTCGCAATGTTTTGTTGGTCAGGTGCCTCTCACCGATGGCTCTACCTGCACAATATATACCGCGACTGAGGCCACCACTGGCAGACAAGTAGCGCTTAAGAAGGGTGACGTGTTCTTTGACAAATTCCAGATGGAGAATGAATACCAAATTCTCACGCGACTGCCAAAGCATTCCAATATTATAGAGGCCTATGGTTTGGTTGTAGATGCTGAGCATAATGAGATCTGCGTGGTATTGGAAATGTGCACGAGGGGCAGTCTGATAGACATGATACTCGCAAATCCATCTGGTGTAGAGAATGCAACATTTCTACCTATTGCATTGGACCTGGCGTCAGCTTGCAAAGAAATGCACGCATACGGTATAGTGCACAGAGACATTAAACCCGATAATGTCGGCGTGACTGAGAATAATGGAACTAAGTTATTAGATTTTGGTGAGGCAGTCGACCTCTATAATGACGTCCATGTGCGTCTCCAAGCAGGTAGCAGTAGGTACATGGCACCAGAACTGATCGCCGCGTCTTCGCACCGCAATGAAGATATACCGATACACGATTGTCCATTAGACCTAACTAAATGTGACGTATGGGCACTCGGCGTCACTTTCTACTGCCTGCTTACCGGATCATTTCCATTGCATCTGGCCAGTAGCCGAGATCCGAAATATGAAGAGTGGGCGTCAACAGGTTCATTTGGGCCCCAATCGAAGTGGAATACACTAACTGAGAGTGAGAAAATTTTGCTGATAAATATGCTCAATCCCAGTCCTTTCAATAGATGGACGATGGCGGAGACACACTACTATCTTCTCCACAAGAGGCAGCCTATGCTAATATATCTGTTAAAATAGCACTGCTATACATAGCCTTTAATATTTGACTTGAAGGTTATGTCAATTTTAGAAAAAAACAAAATATTAGAAAAAATAAGGTACAATACGTTTAATGTAAACGTATCAATCAAACGTAAAAAAGAGAAATTGCTTGCTCTGGACAGGGATTAAACAGTAAACACTAAACAGTAACCCAGTTGAAATCCCTCCCAAAACACGATTGATTTAAATGCGTTTAATTTTTTTTTAAGTGAGAAATGGACTGGATGTGCATAGCTATATAAGATGAGTGTACGTATACTTTGTAGAATCAGCTGCTGATATGATTTCAAAAGGAGGATCAAATCTTCAGTATATCGTAGTAGCAGTCATGAGCACCCGTACGTATGAATAGCACATATATCGGTTGATGAGCGAGGTGAAGTGTCCGTGCGTGGTTATGACGAACTGCGCTCACCTATCTTGTATATATATATATATATATATATATACTATATATATATATATATATATATATGTGTGTGTGTGTGTGTGTGTGTGTGTGTGTGTGTGTATGTGTGTGTGTGTGTGGTATATGTATATATATATATATATATATTTATTTATATATATATATATATGTGTGTGTGTGTGTGTGTGTGTGTGTGTGTGTGTGTGTGTGTGTGTGTGTGTGTGTGTGTGTGTGTGTGTGTGTGTGTGTGTGTGTGTTGTGCGCGGTGTGTGTGTGAGTCTGCGTGTGTGTGTGTGCACATATATATATAATAATATATGTATATG